ACCGTGGCCACCCAGGTAGTCCACCAGGGAATCCCCGTGAAGCTGTACTTCGGAGCAATCAAGGGGACCGGGTTGCGGTTGATTCGTGCTGCTGAGACCGTCTTGGTCTGCCAGGCCTTCAGCTCCACGGTGTTACTGGTGTGGATCAGGTCCTTGGGGTGAACATGCTGGAGGTCATTGAAACGAGCGCTGCACCCTACTTGGAACCGGGCGAAACCCAGGATGAATGCGTCCAGTACCTCGTGTCTGCTCCTCTTCGGGGCCGCCTGCGTACCGGGGCCGGTGGCACCCAGGTGATCGTAGCCAGCCCCTTCCTCCAGAGCCCATATGCCCTCTTTGCTGCCCAGGACCAGCCGCTCATCCCTGGGAGGCTCCGTTGGCTCCACCCTCTTGTAGAACTCCATCCGATCGCGGATCCACTGATTGTACAGCTGCTCCGGGGCACCAACTGCAAGCAGGTGGCCTTATCCCTGTGCCACCCCGTGATCTGGAGCAGCCTGGTCGCCCCGCGGCTCGCCTTCCAGAAGCCCTTGCAAAATCTGCACATATAGCCCCCCGTGGTCTTGAACTTTTCCTTGCTCACCACTTCCCAGGCACTGATGCTTGGCAAGACCAAGCCACACCCCCAAAACACGTGCTTCGCCTCCTTGGAGAAGTGCTTGTTGATGTACTTTCGGCCCGCAACCGCCGTGACCGTGTCCGTGGTGATGGGCGGGTACCGCCTGGTGCCCTGGTCTGGGGTGCGGAGCGTGGTGTCTGCCACCCCCAGGACCTTGGCCTTTGGGTCCGCCTCCTTGGCCGCTCCCCCCCGGGGCCAACGGCACCCAACAAAGGGAGCAACCCAGCTGCCGGATGAGGTCCTGGGAGTAGCCCAACCTGTCATACAAGGCCCCCGCCGCCTCCTGCGGGACCTGCTCGACCCAGTCGTGGACCACATTGCAGCGCCACTTGACCTTCACCTCCACCATCGACGACTTGCTCAGGCCCGCCACCAACTTGGTGTAGACCGAGTCGAAGGCCTTCAGCGAGGCCAGCGGGAGGGTGATCCGTTCGTCGCAAATTGCCCTGAACCGCATCGCCTCCTTACTGTCATGGATGGGGGCCACCGGCATCTCCATCACGGGCAACGGGCAGTTCACGATTCTTTGCCGCCAAGAATGTCCCCATCTCCTTGAAGATGTAACTCCACTCCTCCTTGCTGCGCGGCTTGGGGATGCCCAGGCTCTCCAGGAAGGGCACCGCCTCCTTCCTCATCTGGAGAATGTTGCCCATCCATTTGTCCGAGGTCGAGCCCTCCGCATTGCGGCCCCGGCGTTGCGTCTTCACAATCCACGGGAAGGTGGTCCAGGCCGAGTAGATATACTTAAATGTGAACCTGTGGGCGTACACTCCCGTCAGGCTCGGCAGGTCCCACGTTCTCGTCTGTCTGGTCCAGAACACCCCATCACCCTTCTCCCAGAAGATACCAACCACCTGCTCAGGTGCCGGGCGCTCGCCCCGGTTCACCTGAGCTCGGATCTCCAAGGCCGTGTAGATGACTGGGTCGATGTGGTCCTGCTCGCACGTGAGTGGGTGAGTCCTCCTCCGGCGCGAGCTTAAACTGCTGGTCAGCGCCCCGAAGGATCTCACCGCTTGCGTGCTTCTTCCAAACCCCCCCAAACATCCGGAGCTCTCCCTGGTGCCGCTTCATTGCCCAGAGGATAAGGGACAGCTTGCCTTCCTCAGAGTCCAGGTCTTGCTGGGACGCCTCCAGCTCGGGCATCTCCTCCAGCAGTGCCTCCTGGTGCCACGGGTTCTGCGACGCTCTGAGCATCTTGATGTAGGGGACATACTTCTCCTTGATGTCCCCCACCGGGGGGATGTCGTCGGGGTCATCCAGCTCCAGGGGGCAGAATAGGCCCCTCTCCAGGGCCTTCCTGAGATCATCCGGACGCCGACACTTCCAAGGGCTTGAGAGTGTGGTTGAGCATCCATGCCTGGTTGGTGTCCTGGATTCGCTTGTTTGCCGCCTGAGCCTCCTGAATGGAGCCCATCGCCTCAGCCAATGCCTGGCTGGCGTCAACGCCCTTCCCCTCCAAGTACTGGTCTCTCAGCTTGGCCTTGAAACGCTCCAGGTTGACCTTCCTGAGGGCACGGGCTCCCTCGTTGGCCACCTCATCTGACGGCAGGGCCTGCATGCCCTCGGGGCGCCAGGATCGCCATCTCGTTGTCCAGCATCTCCTCAGTGACCAACTCCTTGTGCCGCCGCCTGGCCGAGGCCTCCTCCGGAGTCGGTTCCCGCTGCTCCCACAAGGCCTTATGCAGCTCCTCCTTCTTCCTGATCGCCTGGTCCACCTGGGGATGGTAGAGCTCGAAGCTCTGAGCCTCCGCCTCCTTCAGGGACCGCTGCACTTTGACCTTGATCTCCTGGCTTTCCCGGACCTTCCACAGGATCTCCTGCCGGATGTCCACCCGCCTGTTAAGCGGGACCGCATCTGCCATGGTGATCTCATCCGCCGAGTCCGTTTTTGGAGGGGCTCTCCCCAAGACCGTGCCGTCCACCAAGTTGCGGTCGGCCTGTGCCAGGGTACCACCGGGGCCAACGGCACCCAGGCTTCCCCATTCCCGCTGCTGGATCCAGGTCGGCTTGCCCTCCAAGATGAGCAGGTTGTAGGTGATGCCGTCCGCCTCATAGGTGGCCGAGGGTGCCTGGAAGGGGGCGAACTCCTTGCCGGGGCAGACCCAGCACTGCTTGGCTGCCTCTGGCCACCCCGCATGCCTTGCACATGAACTTGTAGTCGGAATGACCTGCGTCGAGCCTGTGCATGCGCTGGGTGCCGATACACGCCCTGTTCCTGCGAAGCCCAGACCTCCTCCTGGCGGAGCTGGATCTTCATCGGGACGTACGCCTCCAAGATGCGGATCACCAGGTCCTCCGTGAGGTTCTTCCATACAAACTTGTGGAAAAGGGAGACCGCCTCCTCCATCGTGATGTCTCTCAGCAAGGTGGCCGCCGACGCTGGAAGGACCGGAAACAGGTCTGGGAGGTCCACCAGCTTGAAGTACCCGGGTTTTCCGTCCACCGGCACCAAGGTGACAGGTTTGTTGGCCTGAGACGTAGCCTTCTGAGAAGCCGCCACGAAGCCCTTCAGTCTCTTCGTGGGTGGCGTCTGCGCCTCCTCCGGTGGTGTGGCCCGCTCCGTGCCGTCCGCATCCCCCATGTCCTTGTCGCCCTCCTCGGCGGGGCCAGGGGCACCCAAGCCGGGAGTCGGTGTGGCAAATGCCACTCGGAGACGCTCCAGTGCACTGGAGAGGTCCTTCATCACATCGGTCGCCGAAGCTGACGGGGGGGCCTCGGGCTCGTCCAAAACCAAGCCGGCCGCCACTGCCGCCTCCCGTGTGCGAATGTCCTGGGCCTCCTGGCTGGCCATTTCAACCTCCTCCACGGTGAGTGTCTGGTCCTCAATCAACTCAAAGGAAGTTGCCGAGGTTGCCGAGGAAGCCATTGCTTGGTCGGGGTTAAGTTCGAAAATGCAAAAGATCAAAGTTTTTTTCATTTTTTTTTCAACCAGCTTGGGTTCCAGGAACCCAGAACAATGCTTGAGCCAAAATGGCACATGCCATTGTGGTCAAGCATTCCACACACAGTTCATGTTTCCACATGCGTTTCAACATTAACAAAGTCCTCAGATCCAAGGGCCAGTCAGAACTACAGTAACCTGATTCTTAGCGACCTAGGAAGCTGCAACCACCAGACAGTGGATGGAGTCTGCGACAAGCTGCTACTATTGTCCGTGACTGGTGGTCGGCCACTCTCTTAGATCTCCGCTCTGATTTTGACATCCTGCACCAGCCCAACAGCTATATACACATCGCAACGTTGGCCCAGCTGGGCCCCTCACCTGCCCAAAACTCAAATGGCACATGTTGAGTGACCCGAAAAAAAGAACTGGGTCGCTCCCTCCCGAACGAGCAAGAGGTCCTGATCGACCTTTTGCAGGCATGGAACAGCGAATTGCCTTTTGGGGGGACACCACCCGCATCCCCTTTGGGGCCTTTGGGATCCGGCATGGAAACTGAGCTGGATAAAAACAAAGCAAACAACATCCATTCTCCAGACTCCAAAACGGGTGACCAAAAAGGGTGACCAAAGTAGGACAACAAAATATGCGATCTACATTTTTCAAGTTGGGTTTGGTTGCTTTGTCCAGAGGTTCCCATTTGCCCATGGCCCCGCTTGCTTCTCGACATAGGAATTGTTCCAATCAAGTACCCCTCAGGTGGTTTGGATGGGTGGTTTCAGGATTTGACCTTGCAGCATGAATGGGAAACCACCCCCTGACCTCCAAAGCAATCCAAACCACCAGTTTGCTGACCATCTGCTTTTTGTTGAACGATGCTTTCTTTTGGTAAGCTGATAAAACGGGTTGGTAAGATGATATTAAAAAAGGCTGTGAAGCCGTTTTTTAAGCGGTTGAGAAGCTGATAAGAAGGGGGTTGGCTTCCTTTTGTGTTCCCTTCTAGGTCCTCCAGTAGAGAGGTTAGAATAAGGGCACCAACTTTTTCTGTAGTCTATTTTAGTAGACGAAAACCCTCCCAACCAAACAAGTTGGGTGAGAAAGGGCACATAGCTGGGGGACCTAGATGACCATTTGAACCAATAAAGATGACCACACGGGAAAAGTTGCCCATGGTCCTTTTGGGGCCGAACGGATTTGGCCATGGGGCATAACATATGGCTCCTATGGCTGAACAGGGATCCTTACATTATACACCTCAACTGTTCTTTTGCTTGTCAATGGTGGTGTCCCTTTATTTTGCTGGAAAAAGAACCACATGTTTTTTTGAGGGGGCCTCAAGAAAAAAAACCGACCAAGGGCTAAAAAGTCGCTTGCCACCTGTGAATCACATGGAGACCGCAGAATGGAGATCTCGCAAAAGGAGCCCAAATCGGCAAATCGACCCGCCGCAACGCCTCAACGCCCCTCCGAAAGGGACCGGAAGGGACCGCGGGACCGGGCCTCCAGCTGGGACCTGGCGACCCAGGCGCCGCTGGGCATGCGCGCCGCCTGGCCCAGACCAGTCCAGGCCCGTCCGGTGTGGTACCCAAAACAAACCGACGCCTTCAGCGGGTTCCTCAAAAGTGAAGAGAGTTCCAACAAGAACCACAGAAGCGAACAACTGGCCAACAGTAGAACAAGCAGAAACGAACAACTTGCCAACAGTGAAGGTTGTCGACCTTGAAATATGGGGCCCCTTCCAAAGGAAAAAAAAAGGTCGCTGGAGGGTTGGTATGCTACCCAAAGGACGGCTCTATTTTGCGGCCCACAATGAACAGAACACAAAAACCAAACACACTGGCAAAGAAAGAGTGAAGGGCCTCATAACTTCCATGGTGTTCCAATCAAGCTCCTTCAGATTCTGCTTGCTTCAGCTAGATGTTCAGTTCGGTGAGTATTGTTCTCGAGGATACGGTTTTTTTGGGTTCTGTTAAAGGGAAACCAAAAGCAGCACAACCATAGAGGGGTTCCCTGACTTTGATAGATTCGACCACATGATGTCTGCGCTGATTGGATCCAAGACACTATGGTTCACAACCAGGCGTGTTGGCTTCTGCCGTTGGTTATCTACCATGCTCAAAGCCCATGCCCCCAGTGAACATCCGATTCAATCCAACCAACCGCAGCCACATGAACCCAGGACCAATGAAACCCTGGCGGGAGCCCCCCACTTGCGAGACTCTGTCTGGCCTCGAAGTCCGTTGCAGACACTTGCCCCTCAGCAGAGAGCCAGGGTGAATCCTCGTCCGGGTCCTGACAAATGGCATGTTGAGTTTTTTTCGGCTGTTGGAGTTCCATCTTTAAGCTCTTTAACCGGAAGAAAGGAGTTGTAGGGGGTCCTTGGGTTGATACTCAACTAGGGTGAGCGCTCCACAAATCAGTAGAAATGGCGATCAAACTCCCGAGCATCACTTTTCTTCATGGCTCAAGCTTCCTCTGTCGAAAATCCTTGGTGGTTTGGAGGTGTTCCCGGGTGGTTTCGCACTGCAAGAATGGCTTCAAATCCCCAGTTCCCAGCACCTACGCGTCATGTCGAGCTGCTGTGGCCCCGCGTCTTTCTTGCGCTCAAAAACCACGTGCCTCACCCAAACCGGGGCGAACCTCAACATGGTGTGCCCCCCAGGACCCAGCAACTTGCTCAACTGAAGAAAAAAACACAAGGGGCCAGATGAAAAGCAGACACAGCACCCGGTTCAGGCCAGGATACATCATACATATAGAGAGAAAGAGAGAGATGGAATAGACAACTGTGTATAGTGTGCACATTATATATATATATATCTGTATCTGCGTTGTATATGAGTATATATATATATATATATATGTATGTGTGTTTCAGACAATGGGTCATATTCACTCAAGCTTCAAATATACAACAATCAGAGGGCAGACACCCAGTGTTGATTCTTCAGGGGGCGAAAGGCACAAGCCCTGAGTCGACCGTCGACCCAAAAAACTGCCCCGCGCTCCGCTCGCGGCTCCTCCGTGTCCGCCACCGAGACGAAGAGTCGATGCAGAAGCACTGGCGAGTCCTGGCCACCGAAACATCGAGGGCCGAAGTTTTAGACAAACAAATTCTCAGAGACAGTCACTGCTGTCCGTTTGCAGATCCCCTGCGAAAAAGAACAAACACTTGGTGGATGAAATGGAAACTACCACCGAAAACTGAAAATAAGCCAAAAATCGAACGGGATGCCTGAGAACCACCAAGTAGAGAGAGGGATGCTGGAGGGACGCTCCAGTTGAATGAAGCCCTGTAAAATGGATAAGCCACCTACCAACATCCACAGTATGGAGGTCAGAAGGCACGGGCTACATGTTGAACGGGGTACACTGCTTAGTATAGGCTTGCTGAAAGAAGTAAACATGTTGAAACACGGGCTAGACCGCAACATCGATGAGGGTTTCCACCGGGGGGACTCCAGTAAGCCAATTGCTCGCTTCCTTGTACCCCCCGCGTTGCCCCTGAGGAATGCCTTGGGCCACGGTGCGAGGGCGCTTGCTTGTCCGGTTGTGGGAATTTCTGCCAGCCGGGGTGTCCTCGGTGGGATTGCCATCACTACTTTGTGACGGGGATTCCCCCGCTCGCGGAACATAAGCCTAAAGCACAATGCCCGCAACGATGCGCCGGCTCCTTCAAACCTCCAAAATTGTCAGTTGGACTCAAGCGCATACATGGACCACGTTAAAGGTCAGGTTACAAAAGCGGTATATGTTTGGGCAGGATGAAACCAGTCCCAAGTAAAATGGCTGTAGGCATGCTCAAAAACTCGCTTAAGTTCTTGTTGGTCATTTATTTGTTTCCCCGGTTGGGCACCAAATCGAAACTTGTCAGCTTGTGTCAATGTTGCAAGCCAGGCTCCTTCCGAAATCTGTTCGATAGGTTTGGCATACCTAGAGGAATCAGCTATGGTCCGACTTGCAAAGGTGGAAACTGTTTGCTAGTTGCAAGGAAAAACGAAGGCGTGTCGAAAAGAAACGGCAGCTTGAAAAGGCAATGGCAACGCTTCCAGGAAGCCCAGCAAATGTTGAAGGGACCATTCGACCGCAACCCCTGAACCTTTAGGCCAAATTGAGTCTTCAGCGTAGCAACAGGTGTATCACTCATCCCTTTCTATTCTCAGAGAGGCCACAGGAAGAATAGCACTTGTTCATAATTGATGCTCAGAAAGAAGGTCCTGATCGACCTTTGTAGGAACGGGAAAGCCATGTGTGTCCAAAGGATCTAAGGGGCCCTTGCAAGGGAGGTGGGAGGGGAATCTTAGTCTTGAGAAGAGCTTCTCACCATTTGTAGAAAATCACCCCATATCCACAGTTGCCTCACTGGATCTGATTTCGAAATTGGAAGTGAGCCAAAGCCGTGACTCCCGCCTGCTGGTCAAAGAGGCCCAGCGTGAGCCGCAGAGTGCTGCCCGTCGCAACCTGAAACGAGGTCAAAGAACTAAGTGGCCTCCTTGCCAAGATACCGCGGATGGAAAACACATAAAGGGATCTTGTTTTTGAGGTTGCCCCCGCTTTTTGTGGCTTTTGAGGGAAATGAAAAGAACACCCAGCTGTATTGTTCGCACCAGTTGGCCATGGCACACTTGGACGACACTTTTGTTTGGTATCCTGTCGGCGTTGCCTTCCCAAAAAGCTTATAATGTCAAAAAAAGCAAAACAAAGAAACAAGTGAGTTGAGAAAATCATAATACCAAACCAACCACAACCCATTGCCCCGAAACCCAAGTCAAGGAGTCGTTTTGAAAAGGCACACACACACACACGTGGCCCGGCCACTTTGCACAGGCCATCCTTCTCTGCCCCGAAAAACCGTTCGCTCACCGAGCGCGGTGCGTTCACGGAGGCGCTGTAGTGATGCCCCAGCTGCGCGTTGAGGTTCACCTCCGCGGGGAGATATCTCGAGTCCGCCCGCAGCACCTCCGAGCCGGGAAACGAGAGTTGAGGCCATCGATCGAGCCGAAACGGGGGCTCAAAAAAATTCAGCATCAACTGCGTGCTCATCATGTGGCAGGCGCATGTGCCGTGGTGAGTGCGTTCTCTTGAGCGGAAGTGCTTGTCATCTGGCAGGCATTCGTGCACTGGTGAGCACGTTCTGTTGGGCAGGTGCGCTAATCATCTGAGAGACCCGCGCGCGAGTGTGTGCTCGAGAAGGAGCTTATCATTTCGCAGGCACGCGTGCAGTGGTGAGTGTGTGCTCGCTTGTCATCTGGAAGGCATGAGTGCAGTGGTCAGTGGGTTCACTGGAAGGGGTGTGTGCTTGCCACTTGGCACGCGTTTCAATAATATAGACATATACATCTCTATATATATATATACATACATATCATTGTTTTTTGGGGTGGGGCAGTTGAGACCAAGTTCGAGTTCGAGCTCCATCGCGCGCTCCTATACTCTATATTTTTCTTCTTCTTCTTCTTCTTCTTCTTCTTCTTCTTCTCTTCTTCTTCTTCTTTCTTTTTGGGGGGGGAGGTCGAGTTCGAGTTCGAGTTCAAGTTCGCGCGCTCCATTTTTTCCCCCAGGCACCAAGGAAGGGGGGGGGTGGGTGGGAGGCAATTCGAGTTTGGGTACGAGTTCGAGATCCGGTGCCGGGTGTCGTCTTCACCGTCTGAGCCCATTCATCAACTTGTTGAATCCATATGTTGAGCTTCTGACCGGCGACCGGCCCACAAAATGTGTCATTCTGACTGCCAGGCGCATCTGGGCACACTTGATCCAGAGTGGTGGCAACGAGATCGACCTTCGGTTCTTCTGAGAAACCGAAATCCCAAGCTCCAAAGGCTACTGGTTGCAAAGAATAGACCGCAAATCCTTCTCCTTCTTCTTCTTCTGCTTCTTCTTCTTCTTCTCCTTCTCTTTCTTCGTCTTGTTCTTCTTCTTCTTCTCCTTCTTCTTCTTCTGCTTCTTCTTCTTCTTCTCCTTCTCTTTCTTCGTCTTGTTCTTCTTCTTCTTTCCTTCTTCTTCTGCTTCTTCTTCTTCTTCTCCTTCTCTTTCTTCGTCTTGTTCTTCTTCTTCTTCTCCTTCTTCTTCTTCTGCTTCTTCTTCTTCTTCTCCTTCTCTTTCTTCGTCTTGTTCTTCTTCTTCTTCTCCTTCTTCTTCTTCTGCTTCTTCTTCTTCTTCTTCTCCTTCTCTTTCTTCGTCTTGTTCTTCTTCTTCTTCTCCTTCTTCTTCTTCTTCTGCTTCTTCTTCTTCTCCTTCTCTTTCTTCGTCTTGTTCTTCTTCTTCTTCTTCTCCTTCTTCTTCTTCTGCTTCTTCTTCTTCTTCTTCTCCTTCTCTTTCTTCGTCTTGTTATTCTTCTTCTTCTCCTTCTTCTTCTTCTGCTTCTTCTTCTTCTTCTCCTTCTCTTTCTTCGTCTTGTTCTTCTTCTTCTCCTTCTTCTTCTTCTGCTTCTTCTTCTTCTTCTCCTTCTCTTTCTTCGTCTTGTTCTTCTTCTTCTTCTCCTTCTTCTTCTTCTTCTGCTTCTTCTTCTTCTCCTTCTCTTTCTTCGTCTTGTTCTTCTT